CATGCACCAGAAAAAAAAAGAAACATGGCTGGGGTCGTTGAGGCGCTCGGTTTCTCAGAAATTCCAGCTGAGAAGAGAATGGGCCCCTGGACCTTGAGAGTGAACAATGATGACCAGGTTGAGACCCTCCAAATGCCAAAGTGCTTGACCCTGGGCGTCTCGAGCGTTGCGGGGCTAGGTGTTTCTGATGCTACTCCAGGAGTGAAACCCTTCACATGTTTTCATCAAAGGCAAACTTGTAAGCATAAGTGGATCAGCCACCTCAACTTGTTTCCCAAATTGCTATGGAATCTACTCTTGACTCACATATGCTGAGAGATCAACACATGATGCAAAGGGACCATCACCCGGCCACAAAATCTCTGAAATGCAAACCACAGGGGATCCACGTTGATCTCCCAATTTGTGGCACCAAAACCAAAACACATGCAGCACGTCCCGCGCGCACGACGTCTGCACGACCGGACGTCAAGGTCCATCGGGACACCGCGCAGAACGGCGCTGCTGAGGCCACGCCCCTGGCGCCGCGTGGGACGGTCTCTCCGGAGCGGGTGGAACCGAGCAAGTGGTTCTTTGGAAGACTGCAAGACATGGAGATGAAACAAGGTCTGACTCCATCTCATTTGGGATTCTTCTTGAAGACTAATTAGGTGTGGTGACTTTTCAGTCACTTTAAGGAAAGTCATGGAAAGTCTAGAAGCCATTGACTGCATCTGGAACTGCTGGCAAATACTTTTGGAGTGAGACAAAGGGTGTTGGCATGTAGAAACCCATGGGCGATTTGGAAGCAATTTCTGAGATTTTGTGCTTGAACAAGAGACAAACCTATTGACACCTATGTAATTCAACTGAAGGCATACAGGCATACAGTGGTTTCAGAGTAGACGGCACAGACCTCAACATGTCCTTTAGATGGGGGATGATAGGGGTCTAATGGGGTCTATATCAACCACCAGACTTAGGGGCCCTTGTGTCATCAAACCTTTGAAACAACTGTAATACGCTTGACTTGTTTACGTTTGCAGCGGAAGATGCTTCAGCTTCAGGCTTTGAAGGTTCAGGCCCAGACGTTTTTTTTTTCCAGCTCCAGTGTATATTCCGCTGATTGATAAGGCCTCCCCATTTGGATGCACAAGTCCGTGCGGGCAACGCTCCCACTGAACCATTTGCTGGTTCCCAATTTGGATTCTAACACCTCTTCATTGATCATGAACAGCCTGACCAACAGCAGTTCTGTGTGCGTTTATACCCGCTTTTAACCGGTGTGCGGCCATATAGTAGCTCACCATTCTATGCCACAGCTTGATACCGGCGTACACCGGCTGCTGTCAAGCCTCTTTTTCACTGCCATGTGGGTGTGTATTAATATGGAGATCCCCATGACCCAATGGGTTTTGGATGTTTTTGGTCTATTTACCCTTCTCCCATCGAGTGTTTGGGAGGTCTCCCTATTCTCCATGTGGCTTGTGGCCTATTTGCATGCAAAATCACTCGTGGCCTCTTCCGCTTTGCGGCAATGGATGCGCACAGCATAGCCTTCAGACGCCAAGGCCTACAGAGAAGCAATTCCCATGGAACAGTTCAAGGACAAGGTCATACCGCGTACATTAAAAAAATAGATGGACAGCTGAACAATAAATTCTTTTTGCTAACTGAAGTCTATGCCAATGCTGGCGTACTGTCCCTCAGGCACTATGAGCTTTTTTTTAACTTTGGGTGTTGGGTGTTGGCCGTGTGCTCCAAATTCTATCAACGCTTTGTCTTTGGCGTTTGACGGTCCAGTGTACTGTCGGTGCACACCATGCGCTGTCAGCACCGCCTTCACAATCTTCTCCGTCTCCTCTGGCATCCAAGCAACATCCACAAACACAGGTCAGCTATACACAGCTACAAACGAATCCAGAAATCAAGAAAAGCCCCTCCTTGCTTCCAGGGCTTTCGTCATCCACCACCACCAGCCTTTTTCGCAAAGAGAGGGGGGGGCTGAGCTGGTCCGACCCAGCGAAGTTGGGAGGCATACAGAGAGGTGCCCTCCTTGAAATGTTCATGGTGGAAGTGGATGGCACCCCCTCAATGGGGGGGCGTCTTCGGAAAGGTACTGATCCGAAAATGCGGCCTGCGCCAAGCTCTCTTAGTACAAGGTGCGGCTGGGCACAAACCTATCTCGACTCCGAAGATTTGAGTCTATTAAGTCACATATATATATATATATATGCCACATTCAACCATTGAGTCCACTTCTGATAGTCCACTCTCACTTCCTTTCCTCTCTCACTCAGTCCAGTGACTCCACCTCTGATTCTGAAGCCTTTACTCCACCTCTGCGCCACCACCCTGAGGCCAGCCGCTCGATAGTGAGGCCAGCTGCCTGGCACGAGCGGTCGCCCGGGTCACGCCAGCGAGGGTCGCCCGGTGTGAGAGCCCGGGTCGCGATCCATCGTCCGGAAGGACACTTGCAAGCGATCCAACAAGGAAAAAGGCTTTGGCATGCGGGCTTTGGCATGCTGTTAGGCTTGCATTCGGAAAGCTCGGTGAACAATCAGATACAATTAGGCTGCAAGGCTGGCTGTGTCGGCAGTCTTCATGGGTGAAACCCTAAATGAAGATCGTATACAGCCCCGTAGCTCGACATGGAATCTCTTCTTTTGCTGCCACGGAGGCAGCGTAGCCCTGGCAGCCCAGTGCAGCCCCAAAAACGGTGTCCACTCCAGCCTTACAAGCTTCGAACAGTCTCTTGGTGAGAGGCCGCACATTCTCCGTCTCATTGTAAGTGGGCACCTGAGTCCCAAACTCTTTGAAGAACGACTGGAAGCCTTAAGCTTTGCCTTCCATACACCTGCCGATCCACCAAAGACTCACCAGAACCAACTTTTGGACCCAAATCCATGAGCCAACCGCAAGGGATGACGACGTTATCAGCCAATTAAATCTGGTCAATATTGGTCAATAACTTGAGTCTCTGATTTCCAGTACACTTTGGACCTTGGATCACGGTTCTGCCTACAAAAGTACTTGAGCAATGACTCAGTGTTGGTGGCAAATCCAAAAAGACATATTAACAAGAAAAACAAACAAACACACTGCATACTCATCATACCTTGTTGGAGGACATCAGGACATCTTTATGAATCAGTGTAAAACCTTTGAAACAAATCACAAAGCACGTAGTACGTATTGAGAATACATATATGTTATCTTATGTTTTCTTTTTTGAGTAGTCGGACCAAGGCCTGCTGTGAAGGATGGGATTTCCGAGCATCCAGCTGCTGTGAGTTCCGACCAAGGCGCTATGACAGAAAGTTCCTTCTTGGAGCTGCTACTGAGCTTGGTGGGGCCGCCTTCCAGCTGTGGCGAAAGATGGTGAATTCGTTAGACCGAATCACCGACAAAAGCGGCCCTTTGTGGGCAAAGTATGGGAGCAAAATATATGGGTGCCCTGGGCATTCTGTGGTACCATTGAAGTCTAAGCAGTCTCCTCTAGTCTTCGAGTAAGTTCATGAGCCAAATGATTGGATTAGGGCATAGGCAGTCCAATCAAGGCCATGATTAGAATTAAAATGCATTCCAATAAGATGATCATCTTCAGGCCGTGCCACGCCGACCACCTTCCTGGAGCGTGGTCGACCAAAAAGGAGCGCACCCCTCCAAACAGATCGTGCAAATTGAGCATCACAGGTCGGTGCTGTTGATTGAGCTCATGAACAGGACCACCTTCCTATTGGGCCCGGTCTGCCACGTCTCGATCTCTCAGTCAGCCGGTCCGGGTGACGACGTGCCGCCAGCGACTCGCCGGGCCTTTCCGCCGGGTCGCCATCGCCTTGGTGTTCGGGGAGCGTGGTTGGGCCATTGGAACCTGGATCCATTGGAGGAACCTGGTAGGTAGTTCACTAAAAGAGAAACAGAGCTCCAGGCACATCTCTTTTGAAGGTGGGTAGATGCCAGCAGGGCCAGCTGGATAGGGAAAATCTCTAGCACCGCTCGAAGAGCGTTTTCTAAGGCCATAGGAGAATGATCTGCAGCAGAATCCTTCTCTCCCCCGAGACGACCGATGTACAACCCGCTCCACCGCCACCGCCGAGGACCCGCACGACGACCGACCGCTGGGAGAAGCGCTCCGCGCGGAGCCAAGAGAAGCGCTCGGCGCGGAGCGCGGGGATTTTCGACCGGAACTCGGGCGCCCGAACAACTCGCCACGGGCGCCCGATCCGGCGAAGCCGAGGTCCGTTGGCCGCCCGGTTCGAGCACCACGGAAACAGACACAAAAACACACCTTCATATAGGAGGACATGAGCCGGTTCATGAACCTATTATAGAAAGAAGCAAACACCTATCTGGGAACAACACCCAGAATCAAACGTTGGCTCATCCGCCCTGGATGGGTCGAACTGGTCGGTCCAGGGTGGGCACTCGCCACTCTGCCCGACTGAAAACGGCGTCGTTCCCTCCACGGATGGAACGTTCCACGGATGGCGGATGACATGACACCCGACATGACGGACGGAGCGTTCCAGGGACGGATGTGATTTGCGTATGATGTGTGACGTCGACGTCAGTCCCAGTAGGCATGGTCTCAAGACCCAGACACGACTCATGGGATGCGTACATTGAGCCTCCAAACCACCCCAACTGATCGGCATATATGGCATACATGGAGAGTCTGTGAAAGATGTTTCAACATGTTTCAACGACCGTTCCAAGCGGCTCAAGTAGTACCTTGCCATTGCGTCAGACCAAAAAATGGCAAGTTGATTTGGCAAGATACAGTAATACATATAGTCAGAACTTGGTGTTTCGTTTCGAAAAGGACTGCCATGCCTAGGCTACTAGAAAATAGATGAAAATAGTATCTTGTGCAAGGAACAATAATCATGTCCACAATGCAAGAATGGAATTCTCCCGGCCCCCGTCGTCAAGCCTTTGGGTCCAACCGTCCATCTCTTCTTTCGTCGGGGCGCTGTCCAACCGTCGACGTGGACCAGTGATGGAAGAAACGTCCCAGCCTGCTTTGCCACCCCGTGTCCTCCATGGCTCGCGATGACAGCCGGTAGATAGCCGTATGAAGCGATTGAGAGGTCTTTTTTCTGAACCTGGCACCAGGAAAATGATTCACAGCCCGATGAAGCCCGATTTGCTTGAACTCTTTGTCTGAACAGCGATTGTTTTGCGGCATCCTTGGACTCTCGTACACCATGCCCCAAGGAGGTCGAAACATTATTGGGATGTGTCTCATTGTCTCATGAATCTGTGTGTTCCATGTTGGTTATAAATTTGTTTACACTTGACACTTGAAAAAAGTAAGGCGAGTCGGCAAAATTGAAATCCATGAGTCCATGAGTTTCAAGAGATTGAAACATGTGCCGCAAATGGTTTTCTTTTGGCCAGTTGGATGAACAAGTGCTTGTGAAATGACTGCGGCTCAATGACGAAGCACAAAGGGTCCAATCTCTTGTGTGTGGAATAGTGAATGGTCGATAGAATGCCGTTCCAGTTCCAATGCAGTTGGAACATCAGCAGAACCTGTGTTTTTTTTGCAGCATCTCTTGTGGTTCTCCTCACCATGCTCGCTCATCTTTGTGGGCGAAGAGGATCAACCTCTGAACATTCTTCTGGCTTCTCAGCCTTCTCCTCTGCACAAGACACCTGGTGAACACGTTGAAACAACATCCGCACGTCCACGAGCGCGCGTCCACGGTGCATGCAGGCAGCTGTCGACTTCGGGGAAGCAGAAAAGACAGGATGAATATGATCTTGGCGAACATTTGGGTTGAACAACCATAAACAGCTTATCCTATATTTGTACCACTGTATAAGGATGTATAAGGTCTCTCAACCTCTCGTAGTTAGTGAGGAACAACCAGTTGCAGGGGAAATACAGCTAGCAAATCCGTCCACCCAAGAGCTCGTGGACCCTAATATGGTTGGATCAGACCTTTGTGTGAATGGTTCCTACACCAGATCATCTTACATCTACTGGCAATGGCGACGGCAGTAACTGGGCCCAGTGGCTTCAAAATTCAAACAAGAAGCAGTTTCAAACGAGGAATCACAACCTATGAGGAGTCCCAACCCATGGGTTGCCTGTCAAACGTGTCCCCGCTTCCGCCTTCACAGTTTCACGGACCCGGGCACCTGGCAGGCGGGAAAAGGAGGACGACCAGCAAGACATTGAACAATTAGCAACAACATGTAGAAAGTGTAGTAGTAGTAGTAGTAGTAGTAGTAGTAGTAGTAGTCATAGTGGT